ATTCAACTTGCAAATGTTACGTTTGCTATCACGTGCTCGCTCGGGGCCGACTGGAAGCCATATTGTAAGAGGAAATCAGAATGTCATGTTTATTATTACAGTGATACATCGTTTTCGTCGATAATCCGTCCGAAAACTATCGGCGAAATCCGAAACCGACGAAAACCGAGGCAATTATTTCCATATGAATCAATGTAAATCCAATTAATTCGTTCTAGACACTCCAAAATACATACCAAAAACACATTTTATAGAGAATTAATATAGCGTTAATACTAAAAGCAATAAGAAATTGACATAAAAGACTAATTAGCATTAAGATTAAAGATAAGATAATTAGCATTAAGATAAAAGCAATGGAATTGTTCGGCTAGACACGCGCGGTAATTGTCTTGTCTTGTAGGAGCTAGTTGGATATGGGCTTCTAGCCTATATCGCCCCGTAGTAAAGTGTGACGTAATTGTCATGTAATAGTAGTTGTATGCGTTTATGATGGTCGTATCGAAGGGAATAATGCATTCCGGGAAATCCGTTTAAGGGTAACTGGCCCCTATTCAGGCATTACAGACGTGGAGGAAACCCGGAAAACTTCACATGGCCAGCTCGCCCTAGCGAAGCGCGAACCCACGACCGAACTCCCAGTATTCAGAGAACGTAACCGTTGGCCAATGGTGGGCCGTCGCGGGGTAATGTTCACACAACGAGAAATAACGCCACACTGCACCGGAAAACGCATGGGAGTGCCCTTTGTTTTCGCAAAATTAGCAGCGAGGACACTTGAGCACGCCGACGAAATCCGAGACAAATTTTTCGCGAAAAAAGTCGACGGAAACCGAAACCGACGATAACCGAAGTCAACGAAAACCGAGGTATTACTATATTATTATTGTAGTTAAATTTTGTTCATCTCTGAACTGAAATCTTCGTGACACTGCCGAAAACAAGTAAATATGCTTTTATTTTATTTAAGCGAAGGATTGAAGAAAATAAGAACAACTTATCAAGAAATAGATAAACTTTTTCAAATTCAGAGAATAAGTTTAGTGAAACGAAACAAAAATTTCAAAATTAGAAGACAGCATGAAAGCTATTAAGAGAAAATATTGCAAAAAACGACACAGATTTCGACATTAACGCGAAACTTTTCTATTAATCCTCTTTTTCAGAAGAAAACATATCTCGCTGAGTTTCTTGGTATTCTTCATTCAAGAGTTCTTGGCGTTCTTCTGTCGTCAGATCCGTTTCAGGTTCCATTATGAACTCTTCGATGTTCTTTATTTCTCAGATGTGATTTTTGTTATTCCTTTAGCTGCTTGAGTCTTCTTCATTATACAGTATTTTTCTTAAATAAGATTGAACTGCGACCTACTGTAGACCTGTTCGAGCCATACTACCCAGCAACAACAGACATCGTCTGCCCATTCTCTACCTTTGCTATTATACTCTCGCCTTTAGAAAATAGAAACCAACGCAAAACTTAAGAGTGCCTACCCGACAGTCTCGCGAATACAGTGGCGTGCCGTCATTGGAAGCGGTGGATGCGCCGCTTTCCTTGTATTTTCTAAAAAATAAATACATATTAATTTTAATTATATGAAAATAATCGCACAATATTTTATTATAACCGCATTATGTATCTTATTACAAATTTCTATACTACACGTGAAAAAAGAAAAGATAAGATTGCTATTATATATTCGAGTATTAGTGGCGGAGTGGAAGCGCTGTATTGTATCCAGGACCGGTTCTGGGCCGTTAGCCGCCTGTCCGCTAGATATTTGGCCGCCCTCGCTCGATAACGTGAATCATGAGTAGATTTATAACTTAACCCATAAGAATTTACTGGTATGTTTTTATGATAGTTCTGTGTAGTTGACAGGAGTTAAAAAAGAATCTATTAAAATATTTGATATTTTTATTCCGCTCTCCGATTTTATATTACTCACGGATTTCAATGTTAAACCAGTGATATTACGATTTCGTATATCCCATCTTTAAGGAGATGTAGAAAAAAACGTGTACAATTCTTGTATAATGTTAAAAAATTAACCGTTACTTTGACAGCATCATTTAATACTAAATTTAATGAATGAGAGAGATGCACGAGGTACAGAAAAAGTTCTAGAATTTATTTTCCTTACATTTACGATTTATATATCCGTTTGTCATAAAAATTTGTCTTTCCACTTTTTCCCGAGACTACAAATATTCGAGTACATAGTAACTGGTTTCGACTTATTTCTACTTAAGAACTGGTTAAATAATTAAGCGATTAGGGAATTGGGGACATAAATAAAACCCTGACGAAAGAGCCGAAATTTTACTTAAACAAAAGCTTAACCGAACCAATCTATAGCCGAGTACAGTGGAGACTGATTTTTTCGAAATATTAGATGTAATAAAGACAGAAATTTTTCCAGTTCGACGGGAGTGACCGAAAAGTTATAAATTTCCGTGGAAAACACCTGGTCCTAAAACTAATTAGTTAGAAAACAAATGACGGACAATCTATTAAGTTTTTAGATATTTAGATTTTTACAGCTGTGGTGAGAAACGTTTAAAATCTACATCAACCCTGTCGCGCCTTTTGAGGTATATTAGTGAAGCGACAAAAGAGGCATTTGAAATTGACCGGTATCGGCATCCTCGGGACTTGGCAACCCGCATGCATGCACCTACCAGGACCGTCTCTGATTCCGTCCATTAGTCACTCGTAGGAGCTATTCGAATAAGTGGATTGTTTTAAGATTTAAAAACTAAAGATTTTATGTTATTTTTATGTACGTTTCATTACAAAGCTATATTTAATTATAATTTTCTTTAAAAGTAATTCATACAATTGAAGAACGTTTTGTACCAGGTATGTATATCCACCACACATTTTATTTCACCGAGTAAGTTTTTATAATTTTATTTTTAATTTTAGCCCTTATATCGTGGCTAGCGATTCAGAGTGTTATTGTGATATTGAAAATTTATTTTAAAAAAGTTTTGGCTCGAGATCATATAATGAAAAAGAAAACATTATTAAAAGAGAAAGGCCAATGCCTAAGTTAAATATAAACACTTCAATAAAAAAATTTGTTCGACATTTTCACGATAAAATGGCTCTGTAAATGCATAAAAATGCAAAAATTGTTTTGTTGGCTTACTATTTTCAAATGAAATTAGTGTGTGGAATAAGAATGGCTTTGACAATTTAGCTGTCAAAAGACACGAAAAATCGCCGATTCTTTCGTATTTGAAGCAATTTGGAAATCGAAGCGGAATAGAATTTAACATTGGTAAATAATATAAAATAAATATTGAAATTATAACGAGATGGTTACGGTTAATACATATAACATCTATTTTTTTAGATATATGTTTTTATCAAAGCAAGAATTGGCATTTAGAGGGCATATGGAATATATTGGATCCAATAACAGAGTATTTTGAACTTGTTTATTTATTAAGTAGTCTACGTCAGATAAATAATCTATTAAAAATACATTTAAAGAAAGAATTAACTGATTGCCCCTGGAAGTCGGCTTCTTATAAAAACACAGCTTCCCTATCATCAAATGTCACGGCACGCCAGATACATTCTTATCTATACTGTACTTCAGATTTGTTTGTCTCACAGAGTGTCGCCATCTGCTTCTAAGAAAATGAACTATTTTTTCATCTATACAGTACTTGTAATGTTTCTTAATTATGTGCCATACATAGACACACCTTAGGAAATATTGCAATTATTGTATAAAACTAGTACAATGTCTAACTAATTTGTTAATTAAAAGATTTAAAAAATATATTTTCATTAGATCATGGAAAATGTATATATATAAAAAATATGTTTAGGATTTAAATTGATAGGCTTTTTTTGGCCATATGGTGAAGGTCGGGGCAGGACATATCTGGACAAACCACCCCCCGAAATTTCTGGGGATTTTTCGACCCGTCCGGACTCGATTCCGGGTCCCCCAGAGCGATAGGCTGCCACTTTAACCGCTCGGCTCTAAATTAACAGGTTCGGGAAGGGCGCTCCTCTCTTGAAATTTGTTTTTTTACTTTCTATTTTGGTTTGTTTGAATAACAATTTTATAAAGCAAAGATATATTAAAGGAGTAAATTTAAATTTCAGTCAGTCATTACACTAAAGGCCCACCAGTAGCCAAGCTGTCTTCGTTCCCTGAACACTGGGAGTTCGATCGTGGGTTCGCGCCTCGCTCGGACGGGCTGACCACGTGTTTTCCGGGTTTTCTCCACGTCTGTAACACTTAAATAAGGGCCAGTTTCCCTTAAAAAGACCTGTCGGAAGGTATCCCACTAGGCAGATCACCCAAGTGTTGCGTTGCCATAACTAAACAAACATTACACTGAAATAATCACAATCCACGCGCGAAGAGATGACCCCGCCACTTCTCTTTCAAGTCGTATGCGGCCTACAAGTACCAAGGTATGTATATTTTAATGGCCTCTTATTATAAGTTTTATACATTTTTATAGTTAATAAATTTTATGTATTAAAAATAAAATTTATTAATTAAAAAACTTTTGGGTCTAACCTATTTTAATAGATGGCCGAGTATTTACAGTATCAGCCCACGAATTTAAACACTCGAGATTTAGAAACATCGATATCACAGGGCGCCATTTTCTTAATTAACAAAGTAAACTACTCTTTCCTTCGTGAACTTCGTTAGAGTTTCGTTTGAAACGTCACCCCCATACAGCATGCGCACTGAGCGATACTACTACTTTCTGACCGATTCATTACTAACGCGTTTAACTGTAACAAGTAAGAATGTACTCTCGGTAAATACCACAGGACAGCCGGTGACGTCATAAAAGTGATTTTTAAACGCGGTTGGTTTGGAAATTGTAACCGGTAGTTACCAAGGTGTTTAGAGAATGTGACCTAAATAACCAACCGCGTTTAAAAATCAGTTATAACGTCACCGGTTGTCCTGCGGTACTTACCGAAGTAATCATGATGACAAAGCGGTTATTACAAGATGGCGGACACACTGTATCGTTGTGGAGAATGCGGCCGAGATTTTAAAACTTTGGAGGAAATAAAATTTGCTCCACAAAGCGAACAGAATGTACAAAAAACAATTTCGTACCTAAATTCGACTTTAACAGATGGGGCAGACGGACAGCATGGTCGATGGCCAACAAATGCTGTAAAATTACTGATTTCATTGTATAAAGAGCACGAAAATAAATTTTCCGATATTTGTTGGCCAAGCAAGAAGGTATGTAAATGTTTGTTTATTCTTTTTGATATTGATAAAAACACCACACTTGTGCAGTTTAGGGGGTACATCAATTTGAAATGTTTTCTTGCATAAAATTAATCGATTCTATACTAATTTGACTCGAACATTTCTAAAACACGTATAATTTTTTGGGAACGAGCCATATAAAATATACTATAGACAAAAAATTGTAGGAATACTTACCGAGTGTTCACCGTTCGAAGACACCATTGCTTAAGCTCGTTTTCGTCGCGGAGCGGCTCATTGGGCGGAGGACGCGTGTCACGTGATATTTATGTGCCATTCGGTCACACGAATACTCGAATCTATGACGTTTCCCAATGATAAATTATCAGGAATATCATAGATGCGAGGCGTACGATTAGTCACGTGACACGCTTCGTACGCGTCCGCCGTCCAATATGCCGCTCCGCGACGAAAACGAGCTTAAGCAATGGTGTCTTCGAACGGTGCACACTCGGTAAGTATTCCTACAATTTTCTGTCTATAGTACATTTTATATGGCTCGTTCCCAAAAAATTATACGTGTTTTAGAAATGTTCGAGTCAAATTAGTATAGAATCGATTAATTTTATGCAAGAAAATTGCTGTACCTCCTAAACTGCACAAATGCCTAAAACACCCTGGTGATTAAATAACAATTCTCTCAAAATAGTAGAGCATTGAGAAAAATATTGATTTATCCAGTACTACTACAATACTGCTGGCTAATATCAAGTGCACTAAAGCAATGCAAATAGATAGACTATGTACAGTATTGTACGTTTCAAGTCTAATATGGGATTTTTTTTCTTTTTTACCAAGGAATTATTACAGTCTGTTCCAGAATGATAAAGCCATTTTGAAATAGTGACATAATATAGAAATAGTAAGCAAAACTTAGAGGGGGAATTGATTATTGGTTTATCATGATATTGTGTAATAATTTCATCAAAAAACATTAAAATTAAAATATAACCAATTTTAATAATGTTGCATAGGATATACTTGCCCCATAATGATATTCATCTCTGCTTCAGCATTTAAATTGCAATTGTTATGCAAAAGTAAAATCAGTTCTATTTAAACCTTGTAGTAGATCTTTCATTTTGACATTTTAATCCTCAACCTATTACAGTTCAAAGCTTTTACTGAAAATATATTTAAGAATGACTAAGTACTGTATTACTATTAGGAGCTAAAATTTAACACAGAAACTGAAATGAAAAAATTGTAACTCTGATTCCAAAATTTATAATGTTGCAGGTGTGGAGTTTAATTTCCAAAACATTGCAAGAAAATAATTACCTTGTCACAGGTAGTCAATGTGATGAAAAATGGAGAAATTTAAAAAAAAGTTATAGGAAAATTAAAGATGGAAACAAGCAAACTGGCCAAGGAAGAAGGCAGTGGGAATTTTTTTCCATGATGGATGAGATTCTTGGACAGCAGCCATATATTAAACCATCTGCTACATTTGAGAGTTCCTCTTCAACTTTACAGGTTTTGAGTAAGTGATTTTGTCTACATTATACAAGTGATTTGTTTGAATGTTATATTACAATATATAATTATCATTGTGTAGGTATGGTGGAAAACAATTCAGGAAACATCGGAATTGAACCTTCATCATCAACTCTCTCTCCTCTTCCCAAACTCCCACAAAAGCATAAGCGGAAGCCAGAATGGTTTGAGGACTACAAAAAACTAAAGGAAAAATCTAGGGAAGAAAGAAGACGACGACATGCTGAACTATTAGAATTAAGGAGGAAACAGCATGAGGATAAGATGGAATTCCGCAAAGAGCTGTTAGGTGTTTTAAAGAGTTTGGTTGAAAAATAATTCTATTAAATGTTGTTAAAATGTTCTCTTTGAAGTATGCTTTAAACACAAAAATTTTTTCACCAATTAGATGTGATTCATTTGAAAGAACAGTGTATGTATTATTCAAGGCAGCCAACAACAACAACGTTTTATAATTTTTTTATTTCAGTTCGTTAAAAAATGGTTAAAGTAATGAATCAGTTTGCAATAAAAAGTATTGAAGTTTATTGTTATTTTGGTATCTATTTAGAAAGCATGATGCTTTCTAAATAGATAACAAAATAACAATAAACACTAATACTGTATATTGTAAACTGATTTCACATTTGCGTTAAAAAGTTTCTTTTGTCCTATGCTTGAGCACACGTACTAATTAAATCTTGTATGGATTCACTAGAGTTGTCATTATTTGCATTTAGAGTTTCATCCTCTAAACTGCTATCATACATTTGACAAATATTATGCAAAACACAGCAGGCCATAAATATTGGAATGAGATAAGGATTTCCCATATCCACATATCTCAAATGTCCTTTTAATAAGCCAAAGGCACGTTCCACTACGTTTTGTGTTTTAGTGAGTTTCAGATTAAAATTAATCTCCTGTTGATTTAAATGTCCATTGTCTCAAAATGGCATTATTAATTGTTCTTGCAGTGTATATGCAGAGTAACCTAAAAGGTATATTCTGATGGAAAAAGAGCACTCAAATTTCTCCCCAATCTAGAGCATTGAAACACATGAGCATCATGCACACTTCCAACTTCTGCATAGCAGTCTATAAACATGCATCTAATGATATAGTTAAGTCAATGAAATTAATTTTAAAATTTAAATTGAAACCGAAACAAAAGGAATGATTTACAAACCTAGAATCCACTACAGCTTGGAGTAACACTGAATGGAAACCTTTTTGGTTCATGTAGGATTCTGGATGATTTATTGATGTGTAATGGGTATATTTGATCCATTAATGCAGCCAATCACTCCAGGAAATCCACATGCTTTTTTTAAATGCAGAAGCATTTGCTTCAAGTTTATTGCCTGATGGAAAATGTATTAATTGACCAGGCAAACTGGAAATTGCCTCCCAAACTTTATTACTTGTAAATCATAATGTCACTTTTGATATATCAAAACGATAACTTACAGATCTGAAAGTAAAAATAATATTTATCTATTAATGAAAAACTGGACTAATAAAGCATTTTTCTTGATTCACTTATTCTTTCAGAGTTTTTTATGCAATTGTAAATTGTATGCATCTATTTTTATAACACTTAAACAAAAACAAAATTGATTACCTGTATGATTCTTGAGTTACAGTTAGCCACAAGGTCATGAGAATTTGTATTCTTGGATCTAATGTCTGACAACCACGGCTGCAGTTGTTTGAGATTTTCCAAAATCTAAAACAATTTACTTTTATTATAGAATATTGTATTAGTTAATAGAATTGTAATATGGAATATTTCTTTATTATTGTTTTTTAAATAGGCAGGTAAAATAAAGAACAAGCTATAAAACAAAACAAAAATTAATTCCCACCTATTCTACATTTTTACTAAAATTAATATATATGATAAACTTACCATATTTTCAATGGCGTTAAATATTTCTGGAGTCACTCTAAAATGGCTTTTAAATGTTTGCATAGAAAATTGCAAAATGACTTCCTCCATGTAGTCACATACCTTCGTAGTTTTCTTTGATATTCATCCAAATTCTCTAAATTCATCATCTGATGAACTTGAACTTGGCCAATCTTCATTGTCATGTCTCCAAATCAATATTCAAGAACAATGTTAGAATTAATGATATTGTCTTTTCCAGGGCTGTGGAGTCGGAGTCGTGGAGTTTTGATGTTTTAATCAGAGTCGGTAGATTTTTATGCGACTTCCACAGCCCTGGCAGGGCTGTTGAGTCGGAGTCGTGGAGTTTTGGTGTTTTAGTCGGAGTCGGATAAGGAAAAGTCGGAGTCGGTAGATTTTTACGCAACTTCCACAGCCCTGGCAGGGCTGTTGAGTCGGAGTCGTGGAGTTTTGGTGTTTTAGTTGGAGTCGGATGATAAGGAAAAGTCAGAGTCGGTAGATTTTTACGCGACTCCACATTCCATGACTCAATTATTCCATGTTCATCATCAAAAAATGACCAGCCTGTTAAGAAATGCACCACTCTCCCAAAATAACCAATTGTGACCGATGACATCAGTTATCACTACAGTGGTGTTACCAGTTACAATTTCCAAATGTGCCTTATATAAACCCCATTTTTCCAAAAATTTTTAAAGTGTATCATCATAAGAACTTTAGTTCAATTTGTTAAGGTATATAAATTAATATTTCTGACTTTTAATGACCATATAAGCATTCATAATTACTTGTTTTTGTATCAAATTTTAGAATAATATAATCATAAAACCAAAAAATCAAATCTTTTAAAATGTAAAAGTTTTATTTTATTAATTTTATAATAATAAAACTGATAAATCAATACAAGTACAAATACTTAGTTGATTATTGTATTTCAATGAAAACTTTAAGATTGTGCGAGAAATACAAAAAAACCCCCATCTAAACCAAAAATTGCTTCAGAACAGAGCACATTCTTCTTAAAAAAAAAAAAATTTGTAAAACTGGAAAATATATGCAGTACTGTAGATTTCCGTTTACACAAGTTTTACTGGACTACTTTTACTACACTGAAGGGGGAATACTGCAAAAGTTGACCTCCCATCCAAGTTGGTATAAAATATAACATAATCACTTGTATATTAGAATTTCTTCCTTATAATTGGAAATTTGTCCTCCAGAATTTCTGAAGGTCATCCATAGCTGTGCTATAAAATTGGTTCAAAGCTTTAAATTAAATCATATATATATTTATATTTATCAAAATTCTCAGAAGGTATAGAAGCTAGGAATTTTATACTTGTAAAAAAGGTATTATTCTGCAACAGAACATTCTGTTCCACCATTACAAAATTAACATGTAAGTTCATTTTACCACCATCTTAAAATTAATTTTCATTAAGTTGATCTTGATTTGTAACATTTGCTTAACTTTTCATAAAAGTACTACTAAGCTTGAAAGTATATTTAGAGATTTTGTTTTATTTGAATAGAAAAGGAAGTTACTCGTATTGTCACCATACAATCAATCATTAACATACTGCCATTTTGTATTATGGGTGCAAGAAACAATGTTTATTTAACAGATTAAGTGATTATATGAAGATGAATTTAAAAAACTTGTCAACTGTAATTCATAACACACAAAACTAGTCACTCCTAGCAAAGTTCTCAGAGCAATGATTCCACAAGAATCATTTTCCAATAAAAAAATTATAAGTTATGTCATGGCCTTGCCTAATGGTCACAGAAATCCATTTATATTTATCAAAGTATTTATATAAATCTTACATTTTCAACAAATGAAAAAAGAATTGAACAGAAAATGCCTTTCTTTTTTGCTGATAACTAATAACTAATTCCTGAGAAAATTATATATTATAAAATTATATGATACAGATGTAATTTTAGTATGTTTCTAGTTACCTTCAGCAAACGATTCGAGTTGATCTTAATCAAATTTTAAGTACAGTACATTTAAATAATTTTATACTCCCCTTTATATAAAGATCTTTCCTATTATTTTTTTTAAAGCATCTCGGTCTCAAAGATGACACTGTTAATTTAATTTTAAATCCATCCTGTATGTAAGTTACAGGCATTTGTGTTATGCACAAGTTACAGATTCATTTCGATATTCTGGGTGATTATGTTAACTATTGCTAGAGCATGAAATCAATCATGCAAATCAAATTTTCATAAAAAAGTTTATTTGAAAATGGTCCCAAAGATGACATTATTCTACATTAAAAGGGAGCTGATGATGAAACAGTTTTATATTTTTTTTTTAATAAGAGAAAAACATGACACTCCCAATGAAATTCATGATGATTTTGCAGAATACTACAGTAACAATCTGAGCTTCTATATTTGTTAGACATGCTTTATACTTAAGGAGTTATCTATCTCCTAACAAAGTCATTTCATATATCAAACTTAAAAAATTTTACATGTGACAGTATAGAGCACGACAGAAAAGTCATTTTAAAGAATCTAAGAAAACAACACTTTCACATGCAAGTATATTATGTGATACACAGAAAGAAGAAAAAGTGATAATAACTGCAAATTATTGCAGTTTTTCTCAGTTGGTGTAACCATTTCTGTTGTCTGGAGATCTGGATCCTGGTGGAGATACGTCGCGTCCACCACCTCTAGGAGATCTGTATGAAAAAAAAGTGATTAATTCAAATATCTGATGTAATAAAAAAAAACAAGCTTTAAATTAACAATAATATCTAGAAGATAATAGGGAAAAAGTGTAATTTTACATTGTATTATATTCTAATAATTTGTTTCTATTATATCTTTAATAAAAAAGGAATATTGGATGTAATTTAATTTAGAAATTATGTAACTAGCCTTTCATCTCATATTATTATTCATGAGATGAGATTAAATCTTCATTAGAATAAACATTACTACTCTAATATTTCATATGTTTCAACTATTATAAATGATTGTTGAATACAGATGAGCTGTTCAGAACATATGCTAATTTAATAATGTTGAAAGACAACATGATCTACACTATCCAGGCACTGAATTAGAAATCTTTATGCAAATGAATGCAATTATGTGCATAAACACAGGATCATCACTATTATTTAAAACTGCTACACAGCAGTAATCACATACTATTTCTCACAATGGGGAAAAACATACATCTTTCAGTTTGAAAAGGAAACATACCTTGCTGAACCACAATTTTAAAACCTGCAAAGTTGAGTGGAATCTGAAAATATGAAATCTCCAAAGTGCTTAATGCCAGGAAAAATGATCCATATTGTCCATCTAAGAGGCATAACTGTCATACAAAAATTATTTGTTATGAATGAGGCTAGTATCATCCGAAGAGGCTTGTGAAGAACAACTTTAAGAGTGCAACAACAATTGACAGATTCATTTAATACAGACGACTTTGCAACCATTTTACATTAAACTATGTGCAGGAAATTGCAAAATTAGTATGAATAGTCACATGCCAAAATGGAAACAACAGATTTTGGAAAGGAACAGAAAAATTCATCTTCAGTGTTGTAAGGAACAAAGTCAATGGTTAACAGACAGAAAGTTGTGGTCGGACAGTCATGGTACACTCTATTGTACAATGGTCAGGCAGTCTGGTGAGAACCTCATGAAGCAATGAATCCAGCATGTCTGGTGCAGAGTTCAAGGGTCTAGAGCAGTATTCCGCAACTGGTGTGCCATCACAAGGTGTAAGATGTGACATGAACTTTTACATATTCTATTAATTTCAAGCTTTATTTATATATTTTTATCACCGTTCCTGTGCTTCTTATGCTTGTATTTCAAGTGTTATCTCATAAGTGTCGCAGCACTTATGAAATAAGATGATGTTCGTTTATTCTTTATTACAAGCCACGCATTTTTATGTATTTTAAGAAATTAAATGTAAAATAAATTTGCTCACAGGTGTTGATGTCTATTTAATAATAATAATAACAATAATAATAATAATAATAATAATAATAATAACAGTTACTCATAGATTCAGTCATTCTACGGCAAGCACACAAACAACACAGAAACATACACATGGCATATCATGGGTGTACCACAAATAGAAAAAGCTTGCGGAAAACTGGTCTAAAGCATGTTTCTTGACATGGGAACAGGTCTATGGATATGGCCAGAAGGTCATGTGACACCTACTATTCTTTAGATATAGGTTTACTTAAATATATTGTGGACTCCATGTCCAATTGCACACATGCAGGCTAAAGGCCCAACCTAAGACTAAATAAATTTTCTAATTTAGTAATAGTCTGTGTATCATCCAACAAGTCTGAGGCAGTTGTATCCTTTTGATTTTTTAATGTCAGAGCATGTTAAATATTGCACAAGAATACATTTTAAACAAATTTTTTATACAAAAGAATAAAGCAGATTCTGCTTGTTTTCTTGGAATTAGTTTTAAGTTTTCGTGCTTACTCATGTAAATTTTTAACTTCTAAATGAAATAAACTCAAATTCTAATAACTATTTATCTATTTCAATTTTATTATTTTAGCACAATTAAAAGAAAAAACTATTTTTTACTACTCTCCAATATTGTCAAAATTTGATGCTTAGTGTCTACATCTATATAAAGATACAGTCAACTTGTGTTAATTTGAATCACTAGGGAAACATAGTTAATTCATTATACTAAGGTTGAAGTCATATAATTTATAGAATTAAAGCTTAACAGATGATCCAAATCTCTCAATTATAATATTTTGAATTTACTATTGGGTTGTTCGGAAAGTAATTTTGTTTTTTTACCACTAGACCAGGGGTCGGCAACCTGCGGCTCTTTAGTTCCATACACAAATATTATTTATTTTATCAAAAAAAAAAAAAAAAAAATTAAAAATCGTTCTGAATCGATTAACGAGGATTAGGCACTGATTCTATCTCTCAGCCACTTGTACTCGCTTTTCACCGCACCCCTCCCCCGTGACACGCAAAGCTCTCGAATGACGCCGTCGTCGGATGTTTCTATTATCTAATTTGTTGTGAAAAACACTACTTATATACGAATAAATAGATATTTTTTCGTATGAATAAATAGATTAGTTTTTTTTATCAAAAAACTTTATTTATGCGAGTACTATTTATTGTTGGCAAGAAAAAATTTTGTGGCTCTTTAAAAACTTTGAAATTTTGTAAATTGTAATTTTGGCTCTTCCGACTCAAAAGGTTGCCGACCCCTG